GGTCACTCTCGACGACGGCAGCATAGGTATTCCAGTCGATCAAGGACTCGGATACTGATGCCTCCCATGGTGTGGCTAGATACACCAAGTGGAGATCTCCCTCTAGGCATAGACCTGTCTCATTGCGAAGCCGCTTCAGCTCCTCCCAGAGTACGATACCTGCTTCGCAGCTGAGACCACTAGCACACACCGCTCGGCCAAGATGGGTTGCCATATAAAGTTGACTGTCACGGTTGAAGTATACCATCCCAGATGAGAGCAAGTACTTCATGCCGGCGTGAACCGCAGGAAAATCGTCGGCCACGCTGTTGCGCCTCTTCTTCTCATTGCCTGGTGCCTCAAGTTGACGGTCCAGAAAGGTGGACCTCGCAAGCCGCATGATTTGATCGTCTCTCATTTGGCCGGCTGTCGCCATAACCTCCAATAAAAGTCGCTGTAGGCCCACACAGTTCTGGCCTAGCGCGCTCCTCAGAGGTGGCAACGTCGCCACGGCCATCGATGTCACACGTCTCTTCTCCACCTCATTGGAACAGATAACATAGCTTTCACCCGAGGCACTCGAATGACCCGACCGACCGGCACGGCCAGCCATCTGCCGGTATCTCGTCGTATCAAGAAACTCCGTGGCAATGAATGGAGTACGAAAGACGACTCGCTGTGCGGGAAGGTTCACACCGGCTGCGAGAGTACTAGTGCAAGCCAGGCATGTGATAGCCCCACTCCGGTACCCTCGTTCGACAATGTCTCGCTCTTCCGTAGTGAGACCACTGTGATGGAAGGCTATACCAACCAGGAGACCATCAGCCAAGTTCTTGTCCAGTCCAGTGCCAGTGTTGCAGCTACAGAGCTCGAGCTCAGCGCGGAGTTGAAGACGGTGATGATGGACCTCTTGGGATGGTGGAGGAGCAGACCTCCATGGTAAAGATTTGGTCAGAAGGCTGCATGCCACCTCACACTTCATTTTGGAAGGACAGAATACAAGCACTGAATTGCCGATCGATAGAGCCTCCCAAACAGCAAGCATAAAGCCGTC